CTTGGCTTCAGCTTTTAGTTTTGGACGAATTTTGTTTGGTTTATACTCTTCGTCGTGATCACTCGAGATGCTAGAGGAGATCTTTGAAGTCCCACTCAGCCTATTTACAGGCGAACCATCACGACTTAGAGTCTGCTTGAAGCATTTTTCACTGCTGACTGAGCTTTTATCACATTTGAAGCGTAAGTTTTGATGAGTTTTACTACTTATTATTAAGCCGACTAGATTATTTTTAGAAGTAACTCTAGGAGTTTTTGAGACTAAAGTTTCCGTAAGATTATTGAAGTTGTTATCCGTATGTTTCCTAGGACGACCAACTTTTCGTTTTTGAGATGATGATGGCAAAGATGGAGAGGCGACAGGAGAAGCAGATACCGGAGAGAGACGAGGAGGCGACAGAGGCATTTCCTCCAACGAGTCATCAGAATCCTGAAAAATTGTGCGAAAAGTTAAATAAAATAATGTGAAATTGAACAATAATCAACAACGTTTGAGTTTATCAACAGGTAGATCTGAAAGTATTCATTCAGATTTGTTGGTAAAACACAGAGGGATCATTGATTGTAGTGAAATGAATCAATAGGTAATACGATTTGGCAATAATGTTCAAAGTGCTACTTCATTGTTGGATAGCATCAAACAAACCAGCCATATCTACATTGGACTTTCTCAAAAAGCCTATATGTTTCACAGAAAAATTTGGTTAATATTCGGCCGTATAGAAGCAAGGATTCAGATACTTCTGTACAGTAAGCCCTGAACAATAGACCAACAAAATTGAAATAGCCTCTTGGCTGGCCTTTTGCACAAAGAGCGCTTTTCTTTCAAAATTTCTGCAGACGAGACCATATTACTAAACTACGTTCCAGCGGGAATTACATTCGGTAAACCGATATTATCCATAGAGAGATCAAAAATTCCTAAGTAGCTGAGGAGTCTGGTAGAGCCTTGGGTGTTTTTTACGAGTGATACCCATTGCATGTCTTAATCCCCAGGCTGTAATTCTTTTAATTCCTTTGGTATACATGCCTAACATATGTTACCGGTCCTACACATTTACACATAACTGTTTTATTAAAACTCTTAGAATAAAACTAACTGATTTGCTTAGCGACAAGAGGAAAATTTTTAAAAATATTAATGTCTTCCTATGGCCCCTCCCATATCCTCCGTAGCATCCTCTTTGACAATAAAATGCAAAAAATATAAGCTATAAATTACCTGATGATAAGGACTAGTGCTGCGACTGCCATTTTGCAAAGATCCTTTCTTTTTAGAAAATCGATACATTCCCCGATTTGATGTTTTGTTGGATTTTAACTCAACAAGTTTATCAATGGTCTTGT